TGAACCTCGTTTTTTTTTTTTTTTTTTTTTTTAGCTTTGAATATTAGGGGAATGGCGGTCACTGGGTCAAAAGGGTACAGGGAGCAATAAAATCCTGGGAGAAGTTTAGGTTACCCACTCTATTAAACAAAATGTGCTTGGAGAGATTTAGCATCACTTCTTGCCCCTCTGACCCATGTTACTGGGACAGGAAGTGAGTTGTAATGAGGACACGTCAATAAAAACTTGACAGAGGTTCTTTCGTGTCTCACATTATCAAATAACAAAAAAAAGTGTAAGCTCTGTGCAGACTTTCTCATTTTCTTTCTCTTAGGTTAAGTCCTTGGCCGAGTCGATAGATGACGCCCTTAGCTGCCGATCTATGCACTGCCCGGATCCTCGAGACGAAAAGGGAAGCTTAGAAAAAGGAGAGAGCAAGGAACAACACGGAGACAGCACCGCCACGTCCTTCAGTGACGTCACGCTTTACATGGACGAAGGAGTACCCGTGTCGCCTCTTTCTCTTGACCGGCCTCCGAGCTCCGATCAAGACACTCCACAAGGAACCAGTTCACGGCAGGAGTACTGGGCTACCTCTTCCTCCCGGGAAGACAGCCGGGAGAACGGTAGCAGAAGGAGCACTCCTTGCATGGAGTGCCGAGACTTTCGCATGAGAGGAGCTCATCTTCCTTTGCTCACTATCGAGCCCCCCAGTGACAGTTCGGTGGACCTAAGCGATAGGTCAGACCGAGGATCTTTAAACAGGCAGGTTGTTTATGAACAAGAGAACTGCAGCCCGCATGGGACTCTAAAACAAGCACCTCACAAAGGCCCCCCACGTTCCCCGCATCCCCATCGCCATTATCATCCAGAACCTCTGCCTCCCCCGTCGGACCCTGGGGGTGGAAATAATGGTACTTTGGTGAGTGTCGGGGGAGGCGGCATGGGAGGGGTGCGACATATGCATCACGGTAAACAGGAACTCGGGGAGAATTCTGACGGTGACAATGAGAGTCTAAACAGCACCACCAACTCCAATGAAACCATCAACTGCAGCTCGGGCTCCTCTTCCCGTGACAGCTTACGAGAGCCCCCCAATACCCTTTGTAAGCAGACGTACCAGAGGGAAACTAGGCACAGCTGGGACTCTCCTGCGTTCAACAACGATGTGGTGCAAAGGAGGCAATACCGCATCGGTCTCAACCTCTTTAACAAGTAGGTGTTGGAAAAACCATAATTAGAAGTCATGTCTAAACTGTGTGGTTGTCGGGTAACTGGCTTAATACACTTGGTGTCGCTGAGCAGAGGTGTTTGCGCTGAGTCTGATGAGTGTCTGTTTTTCAGGAGGCGGTAGCTAGATGTTATGTAATTTCAACCTTGAAGCACATGTGTCGTTGCCACACAATGACGCAATGTTTGGGTGAAATGACATCCTATACCCGTCTTTCTTAATTTATAACATAGGATATAATTTTCAACTGTCAGAGAACCTTTGCAAAGCATATTATATCTACAGCTTACAGTACAATAGCTTGATCAGTAAAATTCAAGGTCACGGGAGAGCTGTTCCCTTTTATTGGTGGTCAATGGCAAAGGTGCTCACTTACATTTATGATCAAGTGGGCCTTACATTGGTGTTCAGTGGGAGAGGTGGACCCTTACTTTGATGGTCAGGAGGGAAGGGCTTCCTTAAATGTAGGAGAGCTCTTCTCACTAATCACGAATGTCAGGGACCGATGGGTGGTTAGTGGGCTTCCTTACATTTATGGTCTGTTAGAAGAATGTTCCTTACAATGTTGATAAATGAGAAGTCTGTGTCTTACTTTGGCGGTCAGTAGGAAGAATGTCCCCTACATTGTTGATTAGGGATGCACCGATACCGAGTACGATATTTTTTTTTACGGTACTCGACGATACCGATACCAGAAGTCCCATTCAGGAAGCCAGGCAGCGTGTAATGACTCGCTACCTGTCTTCCTGAGTAGCCGGAAGGCTGGGCGGCGCATGAAGACTCTCCACCCGGCTTCCCGATTAGCAGGGAAGCCATCCCAATGCCTCTTGTCACTAGGTGACGAGAAAGCATGGAGCCGGCTTTCTGGCCAATCAGGAAGCTGGGCGCTGTGTAACAACGCGGCGCCCGGCTTTCTGATTGGCCGGGAAGCTGACTCCATGCTCCTTTGTCATGAGGTGATAATGACGCGACTTCCTGATTGGCCAGCTTCCCAAGCAATCAGTAAACTGGGCAGCCTAATTGGCACAAGCCAACGCGGCTTCCTAATTGGCCGGGAAGCGGGCCCCATGCTCTCTAGTCACAAGTGACGCATCTTACGTTGACGGTCAGCGGGACCAAAAATAGTTTTGGCCGAACATACACTGCTTATGAAACTCCCAGCACACTGGAGGACCCAGTTTGGAAATTGTACACAATCCCATGGCAATTGTCTAACATATCCTGTAAGTTTGAAGAGATTTCCCCTCACTTCCTGTTTTTGTCTCCATGATACTCCCCAGCGGGACATAAAAAAAAACCTCTTAGGATTTTTAACCATTCCCTAGGCCAAAACTACATTTATAGGAATAAATAGGTATATAATGCCAAACTTTGTTGTCTTTCACTGTATATTACCAGCCTCAGATTCTTGGAACAGTAAAATATTAGCTAACTGTGTCATTCATTATACTGAGTATCTTTTTAATTATACCTTCACTCTACTTCATTATTATTTTATTTGATGTGACATTTTATTGTACTACTTAGCTTACTTCCCCAGGCCAAAGGATTGCTCTATTGCTTTTCCAGTGTATTTCTACCTCTACTACTTTAATGTAGTTCAGCAGGAGACATTTTGTAAGCTATTTTATCAGGTGCATTGACTGTGCCCAAAGCTTAATAACCCATAGAAACCAATCCAAATTTGTAAAGTGAAATGTGTCTGGCTTGATAAAGCAGCCCTTGACTGTATAGCAAGCCAAGATTGTGCCACGTGCAGTAATCACTAGCAACCGCTAACAAATCTTCATTGCATTAAAGTGAATCTCTAGGCCAAACCATTTATTTATGTTTTGGATGGATTGGAGAAGGGTTCAACCCTTTGTCAAGGTTTTATTGCTGTGTCTCTTTTGAGGAGGATTCCTCCCTCTGTTTCTTATGGTGACCATTGTCACCAAGAGAGAAAGTTGGAAATCTACAATTTTAGTTGTGCCCAGAGGAACCAGAGAGGAATTTGCCTCACTATGGGAGATTACCTCTAACTTCCCATGGAGTCTCTGGAACAGGAAGTGAAGGAAATATTTCCCTATCGTACACCGTTAAAAATAGACAACAAAAAATAAACCGACAGGAGTTTAAAAGATTTCATGCTTTGTTGAAAGCTAAACAAAAAAAAATTGTTTTGGCCACAATTACACTTTCAGCTCACAAAATGGTTGCTACTGTTCCAAAAATGTTACCCGTTTACACTTTATTGAATAAGCTTGATATGATTGTTACTCTCGTGTTGGCCATAGAAGTGCCAAATCCATTACTCATCCAAGGGCCTAATGCATGGATCGAGCCATTTATAGGTTCTCCTAGGATTTTGCAGCTTTTTGAAAGATATTCCATGACCTGACTAATCTTTCTTACTGAAAAAAGGTAACAAAGGTGTTAATAGTAGGTGTGCTGCTTCAGTCCTTTCACAAGAAGTGGCATGTCCCAACTCTACCATTGATGGACAATTTCTATATTGGCTTCAGATTTCTGCCCACACATCATTTTTGAAAAAGGTGCTTATTAAGTGTATGAGTTCATCAAAGGTGGCAGTCGATAAGATTATTAAGCCACAAAAGACTTTGAGGCTCTGTCACCTTGCCCATGCATGGAAATATGACCGTGTCTCTGCAAAGGCCCCCCTCTCCCAACCCCCTTACGTGCAGCTCCTTCCTCTGTCGCAGCCCGGGACCCTTAATGTCACTTCTGGGTATAGAGAGCATGCAGTTTCCTCCCCTGTGACAGTGCTCAGGCCTAGCAGCCAGTTGGTAGACCTGAGCGCCCTCACAACTGAGGTAGCGATGTCACCACTCTCCCTGGTTGCTGACACTTTTGATTTAGGCGCCAGCTGTGGTATTGTGATGTCACCCTTGCCTAGGTGGCACAGGTTTCCACCCGGGTGGAAGGCAGGTATATTTTCTAACTATGTGTGTTTTTGTTTTTTACAGCTTTTATGTGCATTTCTAGAATAGGAGTTAGCAGCCTGATGTATTGAAGTGTATAACCACAACTTTGTTTTTAGTTTTGGGTAGATTGGAGAAGGCTTCCAAGTTTCTAGTATTTATTTTATGCTACCTGTGTTCCCCTGGGGAGATTTAATCTCGCTATTTGTCTTGTGGGCTATTGTCATTGAGACAAAAAAAATGAAGGGAAATCCTAAATGTTCGTTAGGAATAGAGGGATAATCTTTCAGTGGGGACAACTGTCTAAAAGGGAAATTTCCCTTACGTTGTCTAGATTTTCTCTCACTTCCTGTTCCATCACATTTTACTGCACATATTGGATGAATTTATTGCAGGCAAGGGATATCACATGCCTTCCCATTTTATCTAGGCCAGCCTTTTTTAACCAGGGTGCTTTCTGGCTTCCTCAGGGGTGCCTCAAATTTTTTTTTTTTTTTTTATAAATTCTTTTATTTGTCATTTTTGTCCATTATGCATGGAAAAACGTAGATAAAATTAGTACAACATTGTGGTGAAAGAAAACATCTTGTACAAAGGAAGGAAACACTTTCCAGGGAAAGGTAAGGGGTTTTTTTTGGGAGAGACAGGTGATAAGGGAGAGGTGGGCCAAGGGTGTGCCTCAAAATTTTAAGAAAGCATCATCAGGCCAGTTGTCAGCACCATGGAAATGAATGACACTAATGCAGAGAGGGTGGAATCCGTAGCGAAAAGGATGAGCGTCCAAGATCTGCTCCCCCTCCCACTCTCTGCTGCTGCAGCTGCTACTCCTGGTGTGATGGCCCCCACTGAGGACTCTGATGCAGAGGGGGCTTCTAATGTGAAGGGGGAACTTTAATGTGAATGAGGGAACCCTACTTGTTTGTGCTTTTGCAAGGGGTTCCCCTTAAAATCCGTACCAGAACTCTATCTCAGATAAGGTCCTGGTATGGTTTTTGGAAGGCCACATATTTTAAAAAAATGTTTTGTTTTTTTACTTTTTAGCTTGGGGTACCTTGAGTTTCGCATACTTTTAAAAGGTCCCATGCCTGTTTAAAAAAAAAAAAAGGTTAAGAAATGCTGAACTAGGTACATTTTTGCTCCTTGAAATCCAACTTGCTTCAGAAGATAACTGTGAGTTTGTGAGGTGCCAAACAGGAGACCGGGAAAAGGAGCAGTGTGACATGATAATGCTTTTGTGAGCTAAACTGAAATGCAGGATAAGCAAATTTTGTCAAAATCCTTGGATCTCGTCCTTGGATCTCGGTGAGCTTTGTGTATTTCTTCTAGATCTGTGCAGTAAGCTTTACCCTGTGCAGGAGTTTTGTGTAATAAGGACCGGTCACCGCTGCTCTGTCTTTTTATGCAGGCGGGCTGGTCTTGTCTCTGCCCCCTCTTACAGTTTTCTGCAGGCTGCCTGTAGTGGGTGGAAGCTGCTGGGTCTCTGCTCCCTGCTCAGGCTCAGTGATGACGTTAATGCTATTGCATAGTAATATCTGGTTTGTAAAGACAGGATTTATATCCTTTGTGGCTAATGTGCAACTATGTAAAGTGCTGCGTAAATTGCCAGCGCTATATATAAATACCTGTAATAAATTGGGGATTATATTTAAATTAAAGTGTTTTGTGGCCACAGTTCAGCTTTAACGTCTTTACGATCATTATTATAGTATGGACCAGTAAAATAACTCATGTGGAATCTGAATTGAAGCTAGAGAGAAGCTATTAAGGTCTTCCAAAGCTTCATGTTGGATGACTCATTGGGAAGTTACAGATCCAGCCTAGTAAACAAGCAAATAAATATGCCAGATAGTATTTTAGACTTTCCAGGTGTCAAAGGAACAACTGCTTGGGAGTAAAAAATATATGGTCTGCTTAGTCATTGAGATGTTTGCACCCAATATTATCTGATCCAGTAACTTGAAGTCTACCGGTCTATATATGTATTATACAACCAGCTGCGTTTCAGCTGTCGTCGCTCTGCTGTTCTTCCTTGGCTTCCTTTTTTACAGTTAATGGGAAAATGTTAGCTGTCAATCACATGCTTCTTCTCTTTTTCCTACTTGCCCTGAAAAATGGCAGCTAGTTCCTGATGGCCCCTAACGGATAACTGTTGACAGTGTGTGTTTGTAACAATAGAGCCTTTGGATTTGATCTGACTTCAGGCTTGTAGTTTCAGGGTTGATTTCACTTTTTGTACCATATGCTGGTGAAATCTGAGACTGCTTAGCCACCATAAAATATAACAATCCTCTGTGTGAATAATTGTATATCTGTGGTGGAAAAGAAGTCGGCCCAGGGCGGCAAACAGTTAAACCGAGGCCTTCTAATACTGAACTACTGTTCTGTTCTACTGCACTGGAAACTGTCTGTGTATCTGGTACAGCCTTTGACACTACTGAAACTATGGCTGATGTATTACACAATGGTTTAATTGGATTGTTTATAGTGGGACAATGCTTCTAAAATCCAAAATGGCAGAGAAAAGTATATCTCTAGCTAAAACAAATGGTTAGAACCACTGTCAGATTGTTTTGCTGTCTAGCCGATCGAGGAAGTCTCAGTAAGACCTTATTCACACCAAGCGCGGAGCAGAGCAGTTGCAGACCGGATCAAAACTGCGTCCAATGTATTCCAATGGTATTTTTTGCTCCAGTTCACTAAGCAGCGTGCAGTTCCAGAGCATGTGAAAAAACTGCAGCAAGCCCTATTTTACCTGCTCTAAAACGCATCAAAAACGCATGCAAATGCCTGGAGCGCACTGAAAGCCCATGTTAAACTAAAAAAAATTGTTGTTTTTTTTAAAACCAAAAACGGCCTGGAATGCATCAAAAACGCGGCACAACCCACTGCACTGCATGTGCAGAAACCTGAGCGGATCTGCTCTGCATTTGGTGGGCGTTTTACAGCTCGTTCCTACGCGCTATAAAACGCTCAACATGTGAAAACCAATGATTGCCTATGGGCATGGTTCCCACCTGGGCGTTTTTTCAGCGCGTAGGAACGCGCTGTAAAACGCCCTACGCCCAAAGAAGTACAGGAGCTTCTTTGGGGCGTATTTGTCGCACGTATCCATTGGGATACAGCCAGGTAGCCCTCGGAAAGGCGCGTATTTTTTACCGCAAATCGCTGTAAAAACGCGTGGCACGAAACGCAAGGCAAACGCGCATATTCCGTACGTCTAGGTGTGAACCTAGCCTTAGTCTCAGCCGATTGTGGATGTCCAGGAGTCTCAGTAAGCTAAATGCAGCACCAGCAGCAAGCAAACCGAATCCAGTTTCTACTGAAGTGGCTTCAGTAAATTGCATTCGTATTGGTTGCTTTAGTTCAACATTATTTAACCCCAAAATGGCCCGGTTTGCTTGCGTGTACCAATTTCCCACTGTAGTTAAAAACGCACATACAGGTGAAACTCGAATAATTAGAATATCGTGCAAAAGTAATGGCAGTAAGTGCTGCAAAAGGGGCCCAAACCAAGTACTGAGTACATATGCATGCTTGTACTTTTCAGAGGTCCGATATTGTTCTATGTACAATCCTTGTTTTATTGATTGCATGTAATAATCTACTTTTTTGAGGTTGTGGATTTGGGGTTCTTGGGGTTTTCACTTTGCCCATGGCACCCAATCGGCTTCTCTCTTTCATTTTGAAAATCTTAACTGAACAAAAGGAAGAGAGAAGCTGATTGGCTGCCATGGGCAAGTGCTCCAGATTTTGTCTGCTCCAGTTTTGATATATTCCCCCCATTGTATCTTTGTTAGTTGTGTAGTTTGTGTACATATTTTTAAATATTGGGTGTTTTTTTTAGTGGTTTTATTTGAACATGGTACATTTAATATTATTTCTAACTATGCATATACATTTCTTTATTTTTGCTTGCAGAAAGCCAGAAAAAGGAATTCAGTACTTGATTGAAAGGGGCTTCCTATCCGATACCCCTGTGGGGGTAGCACATTTCATCCTTGAACGGAAAGGCCTGAGCCGACAAATGATCGGAGAGTTCCTTGGAAACCGCCAAAAACAGTTTAACAGAGATGTCTTAGAGTAAGGAAAATTTAAGAATGTGAAAATGCCAGAAGCCTTACATTTAATTTTTTCTGTATGACATTATTATTATTTTGTCTGATGTCCTGGTGTCTGTGAGGATAGAGTGTACTAAGGGCACTTAAGTTCTCGCACTAGAAGGTGTGACTGTGTGGATAGAAACAAACCAGGGATTGACCCAAAATCATTCCAAAGAATCCTTTAGAGTAATAAGCATCCATTTGAAGTTCACTTGCGCTTAGTATATTGACTTTTGGTGACACCATTGTATCATTTTTAATTTTTTTTGCACAAAGATCATTCCTTTGAAATTCTGTAGTCACAAGACTACCAATACTGTCTTAGGGTAGTTTTAGTCAAACATTTTGATAAGTTGAATTTTTGGGCAACAGGGATAGCTTTATACTTGGTGCCCCAAGGCCAACCATTTTGTGCCACCTCCCTCCTACTCCAGCCACTGGTTAGTCTTGACTAAAATTTTGGCCGAATCCTGTTAATTTGGCCAAGATTGGAGTCTCAGATGGGCCAGTCCTCACCACCTGACAAGACGATTTAAAAATCGAATGAGCCCGGTGGAAAATTCTTGGCTGACGGTGACTGCGCCCGCATTCACCGTTCATGTATTCAGGCGCCTGTTGGTGCTGCAACTGCCTAAATCCAAAACGTTGGCAGCAAATTGAGGGACATTTATCACAACTGGAGCATACAAAATCTGGAACAGCTGTGCATGGCAACCAAACAGCCTCTTTCATTTTCAAATCTTAACTGAACAAAGAGAGAAGCCAATTGGTTGCCATAAGCAACTGCTCCAGTTTTGATAAATTCCCCCAATATGTTTTGCGTGAATGGAGGAATCAACTGATTTTCTCTCGTTCGGCCTGAAGGTTGACGAGAAAAAATGTACCTTGGTATGTCTCAAATTAGAATCACAATAACAAGATCAGAGGAGGAGAGTTGGAAAGAGCTGTTTTTTTCGTGCTTTATATCACTGCACCTAGAACCAGCAACTGGAAGTTTAGGAAAACTGTCACCATGTCCTCTGGCAACACTTTGGTTATAGGTGTACAGATTCTCTAATAGTATAGATTGTGCCTGTATTGGTATCATAATTGATTGCCCTGTACCATGGTTTGTTTTAGCTGTGTGGTGGATGAAATGGATTTCTCAAACATGGATCTGGACGAGGCTCTACGCAAATTCCAGGCTCATATACGTGTTCAGGGAGAGGCACAGAAGGTAGAAAGACTCATTGAGGCTTTCAGGTAAACCATCTGCTTAACGCTTGTGTTTCTGCATTGGCGTTATCACTTTTGCTTTCTGGACCCTTGATTCTAATTTATTTATTCCTTTCCAGTCAGCGTTACTGCGTTTGTAACCCGGCCTTGGTTCGACAGTTCCGTAACCCAGACACCATATTTATACTGGCATTTGCCATTATTCTTCTCAACACGGACATGTACAGCCCGAGCGTCAAAGCCGAACGCAAGATGAAGCTAGATGACTTCATCAAAAACCTGCGTGGTAAGACAGATGGTTATATTGTTGAAAACAGTTACAGCCAATGGGGATGTATAGGGTAAAAATAAGGGGGGGGGG